ACATTATCAGGGATGATTTCAATATTTGTTTCTCATTATACATCATATAAGATATAGCTTAAGCATCATACTTTGCAGTTGGGTGTGATGGTCTGAAAATTCATTTGCGAGCGAGGAAAAATTTTAAGATTTGTGAGGTCGCAGTGCGAAAAATTACATCTTATAAAGAGGAAAAACCCAAAATATCCTGATGGGGTTATAAGCACATTCTCATAACGGAAGACTGAAAAGACCTTTGATTAGTAACACTACATGCGAGCGAGCGTAGCGAGCGTGCTTTGGGTGAAATTTCTCTTAGTCACTTGAGGCACGTTTAATGATGAGAGGAAAAGGGAACACTTATCGAAAGGGATAAGACACTTATAAGAAAAGAAAAGGAGCACGTGTCAAAGTGCAAAGGCTAATTAACAGAGGTGAACATGGGGCACTTCTTACACCTAAAAAAAGAGGCACTAACCAGGGATGAAAAGGGCATTTATGACAATGGGAAATGGGCATTTGTCGACGGAAAAAAGGCACTCATCAGATTTTAAAGGGGCATTTATAACAAGTGAGAAGGGGGAAGTGGCTCCCATTAAAAAGAAAAAGAGGCGCATCTTAAAAAAAAGGGGCACTTGTCAGAGATGAAAAGGGGGTAATTATGAGAAGAGGAAGGGGCACTTATAAGAAGGAAAATGAGCATTTATTGGAGAGGAAAGGGAGACGTGTCAAATAAAAGGGGAATTTATTAGAGATGAAAAGAGCATTTATCAGGAGAGGAAGGGGCACTTGTCAAAGTAAAACGATTTTCTCTCAGAATTATATAGGGTCATTTACAAGAGATGAAAAAGGGCATTTATGAGAAGTGGAAGGGGATATTTTTAATGGGGGCACTTATCATAAGGAAAAGGGGCGCTTATTAGAAAGGAAAGGGGGCGCATGAGAAAATATAAGGTGCGCTTATCCGAGTTAAAAAGGGTTAGTTATTAAACTGGGAAGGGGCACTTCTTACAAGGCAAAAGGGGCACTTGTCAAAGAAAAAGGGGCACCTCTCAGATTTGAATAGGGTAATTATCAGAGGTGAAGAGGCGCTTATCAAAAGTAAAAAAGGGGCACTTACTAGAGATTAAAAAGGGCACTTGTGAGAATGAAAAATGAAAAACTTATTGCAAAGGAACAAGGGACCTTGTCGAAGGAAAATTGGTACGTGTCAAAATAAAAGGGGTACTTATCAGAGTCGGAAAGGGGAAGGTGCACTTTTAAAAGTAATAGTGGCACTTGTCAAATTAAAAGGGGTACTTTTCCTATGTAAAAAGGGGCACTTCTTACAACGGTAAGGGACACTTTTCCTGTAGGAAGGGGCAATTTTGGGGTACTTCAAAAATTGGGGGGGGGGGGTATGTGCCCCCCCCCCCGCCCCCCCCCCCCACCCCGGGAGCGCCACCTCTGAACAGTCATGTACTCCTCGACTGTGTTTTTTATTATGTATAATATGAAAGCTCAACATTTCGAGCAGTGCATGTGTTCTTTTCTCCTTTTTTCTTTTTTTCCTATTCCTTTTTAAAAAAATTCTCGAATATTCTAAATGTCATTAGATGTTAATTTTATGTAAGCATTCTTTCTTGTTTTTATTGAGTTTTGAAATAAAAATCATTCGAATTGAGTTGAAATTGAATTAAATTTGGTGGCAGATGATGCTATACCAATTTGATTGTGTATCAACAGATAATTGATCATTTATTAACAATATTCATACTTCACAAAATAATAGAGGAAATTAGTTTTCAACCAACTTTTAACAATACTATGGCGGCCCCGACCTCTATGGCGGAATCGTTCCCATTCTCAGCAAGGGAATTTAATTCTATATAATTTTTCATTACTAAGTCATAAACTCTATCAGGATTTTCGTAAGATGCCAATTGATGTCAACAATTTCCGAGCAGTCAAAGAAATTAGGTCTTAACTTTATTTGCAAAAGGGCGGGGCACCTACAATTAATTTTACTGTTTGTTTCTTCAAAATATATGACTCTGATGTCGGTAAGTTAAAAAGACACAAGCGTTTATTGGACCATATTCAAGTTTCAAGAGAAAAGTGAAGTGGTCAACTTCCATTGACGACTATTTACAATATTTATATCGCCACTGTTACAATGTGTAATAGGCCTACATATTAGTACTCTAACTCATATGATTTTATTTATTTATGTTCTTATATTTATCTCAATACATGAAACTAGTAAACTTAAAGGGCAATGGTTCATTAATCAATAAACACGGAATTTGTAAGAACTATGGAAGTTTCCCATTTGAGTTTAATTCAATTTCTTCTAATATGGCATCATGAGATGGGGTGGTTCAGATCCCGAAGCATGATGTTGTGCTAGTCCGTAATATTCTTTATTTCACATTTATAAACTTCAGAACCAAAAATAAACCATCAAATTACAAAAGGGTATCTTGTGTTATGGACAGATCACAGTCATTATGTTCATAAACAAATGCAGGCACGGATCCAGGATTTCTCAGGGGGGGGGGGGCAAATTTAAAATCATGCGAGCCAAATATCGGTACGTAATGGTTTCCAGCAGTGGTGTAATCAGCAAAAACTTCTTTTTTTTTGGGGGGGGGGTGTCAGAAGATAAGAATCTGCATCATCACCACCACTTTTACCTGCAGGCCCCGCTGAACGTTTTTTTTTTTTAAGTGGGTGGGGGAGGATAAAGTATTTACGTTCAGATACAGCGTAGCGTAAATTGGCGTGGGGGTCTAGGGCAAACCCCGGTGGGGAATAAGGGGTGGAACCCCCGGAAGCTTAGGGGTATGGGCATTTAATTACGGTCAGATGAGCATATTTCGATACCTTATTCATGACACTGACAGGTCACTAATTGGCGTGAGGTCCAGGGGACGCAGCCCCCAGAAGCTCAGGAGTTTAAGGGATTAAATTACCGTCTGATGAGCATCCAGAGGCCCGCCTTAGAGCCCTGGGTGGGGACCAGGGGTTTTTAGGCATTTCATTACGGTCAGCTGACCATAATATTTTGATACTTTATTTGTGACACATGCAGGTCACTCTTTTTTCTTTCTTTCTATCTTCCTTTCTATTTCTCTTTAATATACTTTTTAAACAAAGTGGGGGGAGAGAGGTCAAGCCCCCTGAGCCCCACCGTTCTGCGGACCCTGGCATATTGGCCTCTTAATAAGCATATTTCTTGCCTGACTGTAATTTTTTGAATTTGTTATTTTCCAACAAATGCATACACAAATTTAGTGAACTAAAAAGCGAGGAAAAATCCCGAAAAATTATGTCATTTAAGCAAAATTTGTAAATCACTGGTATTGATTTAGAAATAAACCACGTTGGAAATTTGGTTGGGGTCAAATGCCCCAAGCCCTCCCCCCCCCCCCTTGCAGTACACCAGGGTTGATCAGGTGCGTATTTGGCGCTTGGTGTCAATGACGAAAAAAGAAGCGATACAAATCGCAACTTATTTTCCCTTCTTTTCCCCTTTTTCTTGTCTTCTTCCTTTTTATTTTCTTTCACTCTCTTTCATCCTTCCCCTTCCATTCCTATCCATTCTTTCTCTCTCTCTCTCTCTCTCTTTCTTTCTTTGTTTTGCTGAGGTGGGGGGGGGGGGAGGCGGGAGGCAAGGGCATTTTGCCCCCCCCCCCCGATCCACGACTGGTCGGCGAAATCCCCCTTCTTTTTTTATTCTTCTTCTTCCTCTTTTTTCCTTCCCTTTATCTCCTATTTTCCTTTTTTTTCTTCTCTTTTTCCTTCCTGCTCTCTGTTTTTGCTGCGGGAGGGGGAGGGGGAGGCAACAGCATGGGCAGGGTCCTTTCGGCCCCCCCCCCGATCTCCTTCTTTCCCCCTTTTTTTTCTTCTTCCTCTTCTTTCTTTCCCTTTCTCTCTTCTTTCCCTCACCCTACTTTTCCTTCTCCCCCTCTCTCCTTTTTTTAAAATTTAAAAAAAAAAATTGTTTTAATAATATATTTTTTTTTGGGGGGGGGGGAAGGCTCCCTGGGCCCCACCTTTCCCCTGGATCCGCGCCTGGCTTACGCTTGGTTCGTGTGCATTCCGTGTGCTCATCTGCAGAGATCTGCGGCCTAAATAAAACAAAAAATATTAAAAATAGACCTACTCCCAATCAATTCTTTTTAGTTCCCTTTCAGTCCACGCCCTAAATTGCAAAACAGCCTGAGCCCCTCCCCCCACCCCCTCCTTGCTTGCGACAAGACGTATTAAAAAATATATGTAATGAATTGACAGGCCAGGTCGGGCTAAGAAGCCCCATACAATTATTCTAGCTCCGTCCCGCGCCACATCTGTTTCCCTTTTTTGGTGTTCAAACTGTAAACTTTTCAGAGAGTAAAATGCCAGAATTTTCCCATTTGAGAGTTATAAAGTATGATTAAAAGATACAGACCAGTCTTATAAGGACTAAATAGTACGAACTATACTGTAACACTACACTAACACATACTCGCCCCGATCGTGTACCTTTGCATAACAAAATTCGCGACACGGCCGAAAAGGCTACTCGGCGGCCCGCTATAACAAGTGCTCTGATTCGCCAGAGTTAAATATACGTAAACATGTTCAACATGCGGTACTGTCTATCCCGTTTTGTTTACGTAAGCAAAAATCCTGCTCTGTAATTGGTCTACCAATTACCGCAAGTAACGCCCCATTAACGTAAGCACGTACAACTAACTACCGCAAGCTACTACTCAGTAACGCAAGCACTACAACTAACTACCGTAAGCTACTAACCAGTACCGCAAGCTCGCTTGCGATATATGGCGGCGATGGCCTTCCATATGGAAAAGCTTTACACTGTAACGACTGTTAGAAGTTTGAAGGGTATATTGATAGACGCATAGGCGCAAGGAGGGTCGGAAAGACAATCGTGGGTTTTAGGATGGTGGGTGTAGGGATGGGGTAGACTATATGTGTGTGTGCGTGTGTGTGTGTGCGTGCGTGTGTGTATGTGTGTGCGTGTGCGTGTGTGTGTGTGTGTGTGTGTGGGTGTGTTTGTAAAAGGGTTTAACCGAGGACGCACTGACAAAATATAACCTTCTAACCGCGGACCTACCTTCTATGGGGGACAGTCCTCGTTTCCAAATAAGAGTTAATTATGCTTTCTCTCATGCCAGAGAGGGCGCTCTATAATTATGAGAGCAAACGAGCGATCATCCGCAGTTGGACGTGAATTTCATTTTCAGAGTGCGTTTGCAGTGTGCGAAACTGTACGAAATGGAACGAGAGTGTGTGCATCGAAATGAATGTCGCCATCTAGTGTCAGCGTTCGAACAGCCCATTACACACTGCACGTAGTATATCTATGGCCTGTATACGGTACGTGCGCGTGCGCGATTCATCATCAGCGCAGCATGTCCTGCATGCTAGCTAGCTGCCTGCAACGTCCTCGATCAAGCCGACGATGGCTGAACGACCTCCTCGTCGACGTCGACGCGGTAACGCCGTCGCTTCATCAGAACCTGGTATGTAAAATAACTTCCATCGTATTTTGGTGTAGAATAGGCCTAAGTTAACTGTCAGAGCTACTCAATAGCCACTTACTAAGTTAGTTAGGCCTAACGTTACATGTTCTGCAGTAAGCCTGTAACTTTTTAGGGCGCTAGTTCATAAGTGTGCCCATACTTTGGCGCCGGCAGCCTACGCGCCTAGCTACCCGTGACTCGCGCGTGGAGAGTACCCTACATACGGCTAACTTCAGCCAGGCACGAGCGCTTATGCACTTGTTGAATTGCAGTGAAACTTGTGAGAAAGTGTATATTATACTGTCTTTGTTTTTAGGAAAAATACTCTCAGAAAGATAATAAAATTTGGCAAAAAACAGGTAAGAAAGATAAAGACTTTGAAATCAGGCCCTTTACATGGACAATTGATGATGATTCAGTTGATTTTTGGGACGTTATATATGTGTTTAGTACAATAGTACTTTTTAGTAGGGTACCGTCACTCTACTACTTCCTGTCTCATTAATTTTGTCCATCGGCCCAGTGGAGTAAATTATAAAAATTTCCACCAACTGATAAGTTACTTTTGCACTGTTTTTTTTGTTTTTTTGTCTCGCTGTGATATAATTGGAAAATGAATTAATCATATTGTATGTGTTCTCTTATTTGCGATTTCCAGACATTAATTATGCAAAACACCTCGGTGGACCTGATCCGGATGGATTTGAAACCTGTTTCATTAGTCAGGAGATTGGTGAGTTTTTCATATATACATGTAGAAACATGTTCAGAACCTGATTCATCAATGATTCTGTCATCATATATTCATTATTGTGTTTACTTATTGATGTTTTGTCTTTAATGTTTATAACTATTTATCTCATTCATGTTGCTGTCATTCCATCTCATGAATAATACAGAATCACATACTAAACAGTGAATAATGGACTGTCCTCTGATGTATGTTCACATTGTGTGTGATCATGTGTTAACGCCCCGCCCCCACTTTCACAGACATATCAACTATTTAAACCGTGGACTGTCCTTTGTTGTATGTTTTGTATTGTACATTTATATAAAATTGACATTGGAACTGGGATGTAACTAATTACCTATAACTTTGGTCGTTCCTCTGTTGTATGTTTGTATTGTATATGTTTAGCAGATTGACATTGAACTTGGATGTGACATTAACTAACTGGACTGTCCTCTATTGTATATTTAGAATGTGTATGTCAGGTTGATGTTGGAACTTGGATGTAACATTAACTATCAAACTGTGTACTGTCCTCTGTTGTATGTTTGTAATGTGTGTCAGATTGGTGTTGGAACTGCTTGTACATTAACAATACAACAGTGGACCGTCCTCTGTTGTATGTTTTTAAAGTGTGTCAGATTGGTGTTGGAACTGCTTGTAACATTAACAATCCAACAGTGGACCGTCCTCTATTGTATGTTTTTCAAAGTGTCAGATTGATATGGGAACTTGAATGTAACATTAACTATCAAACTGTGGACTGTCCTCTGTTGTATGTTTGTAATGTGTGTCAAATTGGTGTTGCAACTGTTTGTAACATTAACAATCCAACTGTGGACCGTCCTCTGTTGTATGTTTGTAATGTGTGTAAGATTGGTGTTGGAACTGCTTGTAACATTAACAATCCAACAGTGGACCGTCCTCTGTTGTATGTTTTTAAAGTGTGTCAGATTGGTGTTGGAACTGCTTGTAACATTAACAATCCAACAGTGGACCGTCCTCTATTGTATGTTTTTCAAAGTGTGTCAGATTGATATGGGAACTTGAATGTAACTTTAACTATCAAACTGTGGACTGTCCTCTGTTGTATGTTTGTAATGTGTGTCAGATTGGTGTTGGAACTGTTTGTAACATTAACAATCCAACTGTGGACCGTCCTCTGTTGTATGTTTTTAAAGTGTGTCAGATTGGTGTTGGAGCTGCTTGTAACATTAACAATCCAACAGTGGACCGTCCTCTGTTGTATGTTTTTCAAAGTGTGTCAGATAGATATGGGAACTTGAATGTAACATTAACAATCAAACTGTGGACTGTCCTCTGTTGTATGTTTGTAATGTGTGTCAGATTGATATGGGAACTTGAATGTAACATTAACAATCAAACTGTGGACTGTCCTCTGTTGTATGTTTGTAATGTGTGTCAGATTGATATGGGAACTTGAATGTAACATTAACTATCAAACTGTGGACCGTCCTCTGTTGTATGTTTGTAATGTGTGTCAGATTGATATGGGAACTGCTTGTAACATTAACAATCCAACAGTGGACCGTCCTCTATTGTATGTTTTTCAAAGTGTGTCAGATTGATATGGGAACTTGAATGTAACTTTAACTATCAAACTGTGGACTGTCCTCTGTTGTATGTTTGTAATGTGTGTCAGATTGGTGTTGGAACTGTTTGTAACATTAACAATCCAACTGTGGACCGTCCTCTGTTGTATGTTTTTAAAGTGTGTCAGATTGGTGTTGGAGCTGCTTGTAACATTAACAATCCAACAGTGGACCGTCCTCTGTTGTATGTTTTTCAAAGTGTGTCAGATAGATATGGGAACTTGAATGTAACATTAACAATCAAACTGTGGACTGTCCTCTGTTGTATGTTTGTAATGTGTGTCAGATTGGTGTTGGAGCTGTTTGTAACATTAACAATCCAACTGTGGACCGTCCTCTGTTGTATGTTTGTAATGTGTGTCAGATTGGTGTTGGAACTGCTTGTAACATTAATAATCCAACAGTGGACTGTCCTCTGTTGTATGTTTTTAAAGTGTGTCAGATTGGTGTTGGAACTGTTTGTAACATTAACAATCCAACAGTGGACCGTCCTCTGTTGTATGTTTGTAATTGGTGTTGGAAATGCTTGTAACATTAACAATCCAACAGTGGACCGTCCTCTGTTGTATGTTTTTAAAGTGTGTCAGATTGGTGTTGGAACTGCTTGTAACATTAACAATCCAACAGTGGACCGTCCTCTGTTGTATGTTTGTAATGTGTGTCAGATTGGTGTTTGGAACTGCTTGTAACATTAACTATCTAACTGCGGACTGTCCTCTGTTGTACATTTGTATTGTGTGTGTATCACAGTGACATTTGAACTGGATATAACATTGCTTATCTAACTCTGGACAGTCCTCTGTTTTATGTTGGTAATGAGTGTTAGATTGATGCTGGAACTTGGTCATATAGCATTGGGTATCTAACCTTAGGCTTTCCTCTGTTGTATGTTTGTATTATGTGCGTGTATATATCAGATTGATGTTTAAACTTGCATGTAACTTATAATGCTACCATACTGATGTGCCTCATTTGTCGCAAACAATCTTCTCTTCGGTGTTCAGGAAAAAGATGTGTCCAAACTCCAAAGAATTCAGAACTGAGAACTCTGCCCCCATCTTGTATCTACATGTATATCCAGTACAGTACAATCACCCCCATCTTAGGAGAGATCCATTGGTTTCCTATTCACTCACTACAAATTATCCTGCTCACATTTAAGGCTGTCCATCGTCTTGCTCCTATTTACTTGTCTGAGTTAGTAGTCCGATATCTACCACCCAGAGCGCTTAGATCTGTCTTGCAAGACTTGTTAGTAGTGAATATTAGTAGAAACAAGTCTTACGATGATAGGTCCATTGTGCTGCACCAACTCTTTGGAACTCTCTTCCTGGTACTCGATCCTTGCTCAGTCAAACATAGATGTATTTCAGAAGGAGCTAAAAACATGTTTGTTCAACATTTCATTTTTATTGTCTCATGACTGACTCTATGTGTATCTGCCAGGAAGATTTTCCAAAGAGTCTTCCAACAAGTGAGATATTTTTAAATTTTATTTATATCATTGTTTTACCTGAACACTATACTTTGGAAATATACCTTGGAAGTAGGCATTTAAAGTTAAAAACGTATTTGCCTCTCGTTGACATTCAGATGACGAATCCATATTTTGGCACATGTTTAGTGGCGCTATACAGCAATTGACGAACATGGACAAGCGAAGGACTCCTCTGGGTCAAATTGATCTTTTCTTGACGACCAAAACTTCAACAAATTGGATTTAAAGCTGTTTAGTGACTTGCTCTCCACAACTACAGAGGAGAGGTTGTTCCATTCATTGATACTTCTCTGTGAAAATGATCCATGTCTAAGCTTTGAGTAGACTTTCTTCTTAACGATCTTGTATCGATGGCCACGGGTTCTATTATCAGTTGGATGGTCAAAGAAGTGTGCTAGATCTAGTTCATCTAGGCCATGCATTATTTTGTATATCTGTATCATGTCTGCTCTATGGCGTCTGTAGGCAAGAGATGGTAAGTTGAGATGTTTTAGTCTCTTCTCGTAGCTCAAGTGTCGTAGCATGTGTATTTGGCGTGTTGCTCTACGCTGTACCTTTTCTATTTTCGTGCTGTCTTTTTTTAATACAGGATGCCACACCGTTGAGCAATACTCGAGTCTTGGTCTTATAATTGATTTGTATAGATGTATAAAGCCCGTTTTGTCCAAATTAGAAAATGTCCTCTTGATAATCCCTAGCTTGCGATTTGCAGCAGCACATACTCCATCCACATGACGTGAAAACCTCAATTGCTGGTCAAAGGTTACCCCAAGGTCTGTTTCTACTTCCACGGCAGGAATAGGTATATCTTCGTCTGACATGAAATAATCATAACAAGGATTTCTTCGACCATAGTGGATTACCTTGCACTTCTCTTGATTAAATGGTAGTTGCCACTGATGGGACCATTTTGTGAGCTTTGTTAGATCTGCTTGTAGATTTTTGCCATCCAATGAAGAGTGAATTGGTGAGAAGATTTTGGTGTCATCTGCAAATAGTTTGACTTCTGATTCAGTGTTACATATAATATCTGGAATGTCATTAACATACAACAAGAACAGTGTCGGCCCCAGCACGCTTCCTTGAGCTACGCCGCTGACAACTTTTGATGCACTCGATGGGGTACCGTTTATAACTACCCGCTGAGTTCTTCCAGTCAGGAAAGACTTGATCCATCTATGCAGATTACCTGTTATACCGTAGGCCTCTACTTTTTTCAGAAGTCTAGCATGTGGGACACTGTCAAAGGCCTTGCTGTAATCCAAGTAGATACAGTCAATACTTCCCTTGTTGTCTAATTCCTTTGTCCAGGTTTCAGAAACATTTAGCAACTGTGTAGCACAAGATCTACTTCTTCTAAATCCGTACTGTTCCTCCGTGAACAGAGAGTTCTCATTCATATATTTGACAATTTCATCACGTACAATGGTCTCCATTAGTTTGGAAAGAGAACTGGTTAGACTGACTGGACGATAATTTCCTGTTTTCTTTTTATCTCCTTTCTTAAAAATAGGAGTCACATTGGCTTCTTTCCATGAGTCACATACCACGCCACTCGACATAGATTTGTTAAAAAGATGGGCAAGTGGTCGGGAAATGTCGTCCACTAATTCCTTCAGGATGCGATTGTGAATGTTATCTGGTCCAGGAGATTTTGATTGGTCCAATCTCATGATAGCTTTTTTGACATTTTCATAATTAAAACAGACCGTATCCAGTTGCTTGTCACGAATTCTCAGATCAAGGGCTGGTACAAGAGATAAATCCTCCTTAGTAAAGACTGATGCAAAGAATAAGTTCAGTGTTTCTGCTTTATCTGCATCATCGCTTGCAATGGTTCCATCAGGCTTTTCCAAGTCACCAATACCCTGTCTAAATTTGTTTTTACTTTGAACATATCTCCAAAAACTTTTAGGATTGGATTTTATTTCTAAGGTCAGCTTACGTTCAAATGACTTCTTTGCTATGTTTACTTTATCGGTTGCCTCATTTCTTGCTATATTGTAGGATACTCTGTCGGACTCACTTCTATGTTAATTATTATTATTTCCCAGTAAAGATGTGCGTTGATGGCTAAATGTAAGCTTTTCTCTCTCTATTTCTCATTTTCCCTCTTTATAGGGGATGGGCTGTTTTCAACAAAGGAGTTTATGGAGGGAGAGTTTCTCCTTGAGTACAAGGGTGAACTTTTGACAGAAGAAGAGGCCTTAGAAAGGGATTATAGTAGTTGGCGGCACCATTACCAGTACTTCTTTCAGTGGAAAGGAAGAACAATGTGGTAAGAAAACTCTCCTGATTATCAGAATGGGGAACAGGTAATAATTTCCAGCAAAATTACTGCCTGCAGTATGTGGTACTTTTCAGACTAGCGTAAACTAGACATACCTGTAAACAATTATGAAGGAGCTATATTTGAGAAGCTTGATTTATATTCACAAAGTTTGCTGGAGGCATAATGTTTGTTTAACTTTCCTCTTTTTTATCAGTCCTCCTGTTTTTCACAGTCGTTCATGGAATTAACCATTTTTCATTAGAGTTTGGTACAATAGTGACATGCTTTAATAAAAAATTGATAACATTCTGAGGGAAATGAATGAATCCTGCAAATTTTACTGTTGAAATGAATTTAAGACATGGAGCATGTTACACTTAATCTGTTATAAAGTGTAAAAAAGAATTCCTTTGTCATATTAACTGTAAAGGAGTTTTCTCTATGTGAAGACTGGAAGTGGAATGTGTGACCATATAAAACACAGATGTATGTTTTCACTTGCTAATTTTACTTTGTAAAAAGGGAACACAGTGTTATTGTTTATTGACTTTTATAAATCTATTCTTTTGCCCCCCCCCCCCTGCTTTTTTTCTTTCAGCATAGATGCCGCCAACTACACACAGTCTCTTGCAAGATATGCAAATAATTCTCGGCCATCAAGGAGGAGCTGCAACTGTAGAATCAGAAAAATAGAAATGAATGATTCAGTACATCTAGGGATCTTTGCTCTGAGAGACATTCAAAAAGGGGAAGAACTGCGTTATGACTATAATGCTAAACACACACTGAATGCTGGAGGTGATCGAAATGCATCAGATACTGGAGGTGTTCAACAGGCATCAGAAGTTAGAGGTGTTCAGTTGGCGCCAGATTTTGGAGGTGTCCAACAGGCGTCAGATGCTGGAATTGTTCAACAGGTGTCTGATGCTGGAGGTGCCCAACAGGCGTCAAATGCTGGAAGTGTTGAACTGGCATCATATGCTACAGGTGTCCAACAGGCATCAGATGCTGGTGGTGTCCAGCAGGCGTCAGATCCCGGAATTGTTCAACAGGCACCAGATGCTGGAAGCGTTCAACTTGCATCAGATGCTGGAGGTGTTAATCAGGCGTCAGATAGTGGAGATGTTCAACAGGCGTCAGATGCTGGAGGTGTTTATCAAGCGTCAGATGTTGGAGATGTCCAACAAGCGTCAGATGCTGAAGGTGTTCAACAGGTCTTAGATGCTGGAATTGTTCAACAGGCATCAGATGCTGGAGTTGTTCAGCAGGTCTTAGATGCTGGATGTATTTATCAGGCATCAGATGCTGAAATTGTTCAACAGGTGTCTGAAGCTGGAGGTGTCCAACAGGCATCAAATGCTGGAGGTGTTGAACTGGCATCATATGCTACAGGTGTCCAACAGGCTTCAGATGCTGGTGGTGTCCAGAAGGCCTCAGATCCCGGAATTGTTCGACAGGCACCAGATGCTGGAAGCGTCCAACTTGCATCAGATGCTGGAGGTGTTAATCAGGCGTCAGATGGTGGAGATATTCAACAGGCATCATAAGCTGGAGTTATCCAACAGGCATCAGATGCTGGAGTTGTTCAGCAGGTCTTAGATGCTGGAGGTATTTATCAGGCATCAGATGCTGGGGGTGTTCAACAGGTCTCAGAAGTTGAAAGTGATCCATGTGCTTCAGATTCTGAAATCTCTGAATATGCATCTGATTTGGAAGATTCTGGGCATGAATCAGACTGTGATGATTCAAATCATGCATTAGATCCTGACTTTGTAGTTGACGAATCTGACTCCTCTGATGGTAATTCTTCTGAAAGGTCTTATGTCATTCCATTGAAAAGACCAAAAGTTACTGTGTTGTATCCCGAAGCATCCCAGGTCAGCTCTGAATCGCCATTACATACTGCAAAAAGCAATGTATTGCAGAGAAATCCTGATACATCTCATGTCCGCTCTGAAGCACACTTACCTCATAGTTCTCCTGGAAAGATCAAAGTATTACGTACTAACAACAGCAAAGGAGACACTGGGACAAAGGGGCATACTGCCCATTTTGTCGATCGTATGAGAAGAAGCTACCAAGACACCTAAGAGAATTCAAGGCTCACCAGAACGAACCAGATATCATACAGTGGCTCACATGCATTCATGATTAATTTCATTGTGTTATATTCAGACATAAAGGTATGGCTACATTCAAAGAATTTGTTTATGTTCCTCAAAATTCAGAAGAATTGTAAGTGATTCTGCATATTTTCTTAGAAAACAAACAAAAAGTCATAGAAGATCCGTCATAGATATATATCTCTGTTTATAAGTTTGATTTATTGCTAAATATTGCTCAGTACAATGTACATGTAGGTTCAGGCCAAAAGTATGGGTACATGGATAGTGATTTAACATTTTAAGTTTTCCATTTATTTATGATTCAGCATTTTCTTACTAAGATGAGGAAAGGTCAAAGGAGACCCTTTATGGAAATACCTATTGTTTTGGAGTTTGGTTTATTGCTAAATGTTGTTAAATACATGGAGATTCAGGCCAAAAGTATGGGTACATGTATTCATGATTAATTTCATTGTGTTATATTCAGACATAAAGGTATGGCTACATTCAAAGAATTTGTTTATGTTCCTCAAAATTCAGAAGAATTGTAAGTGATTCTGCATATTTTCTTAGAAAACAAACAAAAAGTCATAGAAGATCCGTCATAGATATATATCTCTGTTTATAAGTTTGATTTATTGCTAAATATTGCTCAGTACAATGTACATGTAGGTTCAGGCCAAAAGTATGGGTACATGGATAGTGATTTAACATTTTAAGTTTTCCATTTATTTATGATTCAGCATTTTCTTACTAAGATGAGGAAAGGTCAAAGGAGACCCTTTATGGAAATACCTATTGTTTTGGAGTTTGGTTTATTGCTAAATGTTGTTAAATACATGGAGATTCAGGCCAAAAGTATGGGTACATGTATTCATGATTAATTTCATTGTGTTATATTCAGACATAAAGGTATGGCTACATTCAAAGAATTTGTTTATGTTCCTCAAAATTCAGAAGAATTGTAAGTGATTCTGCATATTTTCTTAGAAAACAAACAAAAAGTCATAGAAGATCCGTCATAGATATATATCTCTGTTTATAAGTTTGATTTATTGCTAAATATTGCTCAGTACAATGTACATGTAGGTTCAGGCCAAAAGTATGGCTTCATGGATAGTGATTTAACATTTTAAGTTTTCCATTTATTTATGATTCAGCATTTTCTTACTAAGATGAGGAAAGGTCAAAGGAGACCCTTTATGGAAATACCTATTGTTTCGGAGTTTGGTTTATTGCTAAATGTTGTTAAATACATGGAGATTCAGGCCAAAAGTATGGGTACATGCATTCATGATTTATTTCATTGTGTTATATTCAGACATAAAGGTATGGCTACATTCAAAGAATTTGATTGTGCTCCTCACATTTCAGAAGAATTGTTAGAGATTCTGCATATTTTCTTAGCAAACAAAATGTCATAGACATATCTTTGTTTATGAGTTTGGTTTATTGCTAAATATTGCTAAATATATGTAGGTTCAGGCCAGAAGTATGGCTACATGCATTCATAATTGATTTGATTAAGTTATTACAGGTACATTGATTTAAAAGTTGTATGTGTTCCATCTAATCATTTTTGTATGATTCTACATTTTCTTACAAAGTAGATGAAGGTAAGCGTAGGTTGCTGTAAATGATTGATCACGGAAAGCTTAAAATGTATACAGAATGTAGGGTAATTACTGTAAGTCAGAGTCTTTTCAAAAGCAATTTTTCTTTCTTTCACATCTCAGAAATATTTCATTTTGAAATATTGGTGTAAAAAAAACATTTTACATTTTAAACAATACGATCCTCTTGAGGAAGGCTTTAATCAGCAGATGACAGTTTATATTTAAGATGCTATTCGATCAATAACGAGTATTATAAGTTCACTTCTAATATTTCGAAGTGACGTTAGGTAACATATCTCATTGCAAACTTGGTGTGCACACGACTTATAATGGTTCTTTGATGATACCTTTGGGTAATTATAATAGGTCACGACATGGTGTGAAATATTCATTGTCTTGTCATATTTTCTTCGTTTTTCAGTATAATAAACACAACATGTTGAGGATGTATCTTTGTTCCATGTTTTTTTTTTCAAGTACGGACCCTAAATCATGTAAATATTAAATTAGGAGGCATACATTGTACTTTTGGTTATAACGAACTCTGCGGGACCAGCAAAGTTACTTTGTTGCAACAATTTCAGAATACCACCAAAACAACAAAATAGTAAAATATTTTGAATTTTGAACCAGAAAATTAAGTGATTTTGAATGAAAAAATATATTGTCATTTCGCTGGATATTAGAGAGTGCACTGTACTCTAACTTTATTGATTAAATTATATTGCTTTAATAAACATGGTAAAGGCAGTGCATTGTGTTGGTCCGGTCAAAAACTGATTCTCTTAAAAAAATATATTATACTCCTTTTGGGTGCAAAATCAACCTCTTAACTGTTTGTTCTTATTTATTTTTTGCTTTTTAGAGACGTTCATTATTGTTTAAATGATATTGTCAATTTCAAGGAAAATAAGTCCCTTTTACTTTGAACTGTGGGTGATTTGACCGGACCAACGGCTATTGTCTTCTAAAAGTCCACTGACTTTCAGTAAACATAATGCCCCATTTCTCTTCTAATGTTGCCCTTGCACTTCCAAAAGGCGTGATTTCTCTGCAAGAGTAGCCTGTTCTTTTTCAGTTATAGGGCTCTTTCTATTCCAACACTTTCAACTTAGCCCCTTATCACCTTTGAAAATCTCCCAATTTATCTTCCAGTAGTGGCCCTTCCCTTTCTAAAAGCGCCCATTTTCTCTTCAAAGAGTGTCCCTCTTTCAAAAATGATGCCCTTTCTCTTTCATAAATAAACTCCTCTTACAAATTCCAAAATCATCCACTTTTCTAATTTTCTTCTAAAATAAAGTCAGTTTCTCTTTAAAAGTGACCACTTCCACTTAAAAAGGCGTAACTTTTCTATCAGTAGGAACTCTTTTCCCAAATATAGTGCCCCTTTCTCTTCTGATACCACTTTTTCTTCCAGTAGATAAATAAATGAAATCTAATTGCATTGCTTTTATATTCTTTTTAACGGTCCCACATTACACATTCTAATATCAAACTATTCGTCTTTTTTTCTCTCAAGCGCTCACTCGCAAATCAAATCTTAATGGTTGTGGAAGTAGTAGTAGTAACAGTAGCAGTAGTAGTAGGCCTATAGTAGTGGTGGTAGTCGTAGTAGTAGTAGCAGTAGTAATAGTAGAAGTAGAAGTAGTAGTAGTAGTAGTAATAGTGGTGGTAGTAGCAAAAGTAGTAGTAGGCCTAGTAGCAGCAGTAGTGGTGGTGGTAGTAGTGGCAGTAGTAATGGAAGAAGTAATAGATGTTTGACATGATATAGCACAATGTAAGGCAGCAACCTTTGTTCTTTAAGAGTTCGAATTTTGCTTAATGATGAATTGTTAATAGTAATGCAATATAATGTTAAATATATGTCGAAGCCTCGGGCATCAGTGTTTAAAACATGCGGAAGCCTCGGTGTCAAAATGCACATTTTGACCTTGCATAACATTGCGTGCATTTAAGTAGCTGATAAAGGAGTGATTTGGGAAGGCGTTGAGCCCCCCTTTCAAACTCGCTCTACCGCCTCTGATTATTTTGAGCGCCAGGGAATTCGTTCATTTATTTATCTATTTATTCATTTATTCATTTGATCATTTCGTTGCTGTTGCATAATTCTAAATAGTCAAGTGATATAACGAAAGAGAATGCAAAAGGTCGACTCTCCTAGCTCCATTGCAGGGTTAAGTATGATCACGTGATTCAACATGAAGAAAAAACGCCAAACGTGGACGGTCCCCCATGGTAATGAATATCACGTGACTAACGTCCACAGTTTAACGCTTAAAATAAAAAAAAATAATTGAATTAGTTACGGGGTATTCAAAGTGATATTTTTCATTTTCATCATTAATAATTTAAAAATCCCTAAAATATATCCATATTTAAAGAGGTTTTAGGGGCGTCCACGGTTAGATGGTTTAAGTTTATAGTCCTCGAATGAAGGCGATTACACGTATGTGTGTGTGTGTGAGTGTTTGGGCGGGACTAGACAGTAGGGAAATGGTTGGGAAATGTCCTTCTTGGAGATCCTTTACAGAGTGAATGCTTTAGGAACTGGTGAGAATGAGGATGGTTGTAAGGGCCTTATAAAGGGGTTTACTTAAGTTGAGAGACCAGGATGGCTTGATATAGTCTTAAGGATTTTAAAACAGGGAGTCAAAAATCGCATCATTTCGCTTTTATGATAGATTTTCGATAATTGTAAAAATATCCTTGTTCTTCCTGTTTCGAATATTTTGTTTACTGAAGCTGTGCATATAAAATAAATCATCTATGACAAATCCACTGTTTCTTCGTTACTTGCAGGAGAAGGTCGGAGATATTGTCGATTAA